CCTGTGGATATGGCGGGAAAACTCTAAAGATGAAACGCGTACGCGCGTTTATTGGTAGGAAAAATGGTTCATTAGCCCCACGGTCCGAGACCTAGCTAAGTCCTTGGCTCAGCGTAGATATATTAAAATTGGAGTGCTCGGCTGAATCGAATTGGTACAGGGTTTACATACAAAAGAGTCGTGAAGGGAGAGCAGTGCCAAACTCCATTTTTCAACCAATTTGTTTTTCCGAATCGCGTTTTTTTTCTTTAAAAAATATTTTCCTATTTCCATTTTGTTGTTTTTCCCTTTCCCAGTAACCGAAGCCCCATTTTCCCGGGAGAAAATACTAAAATCGAACTTTTTGACCTCTTCGGGTCCCTSATATGAAAAAATACAATTACTACTTTCAAACAAAGCGGTTTTTTTACTAATGTTTGTAACGATGGTTTTTAGAGAGGTAAAGTATTTTCGTAAAAGCAAATGAAACCGTAGACTTTGATTACGATGTATTTTAACGGTAACCTGAGAAACGAAAGAGAAAATGGGTTTGAAAACAGTCAGAAATAAAAACAGGAATAAACTGAAAAAAGGCTAAGATGCTACTAATGTTTGTAACGATGATTTTGAGAGAGGTAAAGTACTTTCGTTAAAGCAAATAAAACCGTAGACTCTGATTACGATGTATTTCCCTATTTCCCTTTCCCAATAACCGAAGCCCCATTTTCCCAGGAGAAAATATTAAAATCGCACTTTTTGACCTCTTCGGGTCCCTCATATGAAAAAATACAATTACTACTTTCAAACAAAGCGKTTTTTTTACTAATGTTTGTAACGATGGTTTTGAGAGAGGTAAAGTACTTTCGTTAAAGCAAATAAAACCGTAGACTCTGATTACGATGTATTTTAACGGTAACCTGAGAAACGAAAGAGAAAATGGGTTTGAAAACAGTCAGAAATAAAAACAGGAATAAACTGGAAAAAAGGCTAAGATAACTTGGGTTTAATGTTACTGTAGCCGACACTATGGCGGGCCGGTATAGAAAATTTCAAGTAAAAGATGAGAGGCAAGTTTGCCCACCAATAATCAGCTATAGAAGTGGTTTCGTCTCTGGTGCTCAGCTGTTGATTTTGAGCAGGAAAAACTGTGTGTCGTTGAAAACTTGCCAAACAAGGGAAAAGGTCTAAATAGGATTAAATTGATATTTAGTGACCAAAGTTTTGCGAAGGGGGGAATCCAAAAAAAAAAAAAAAAGAAAAGAAAACCCGTCTAATTAAGGAAAACTTAACAAAGACCTTCTAATAGGCTTTTTCTTGCGACTTTTCGTCTCCTAGTGCCATCTTAAAAAGTTGACAGGTTAACAAAGTTAAAGTTTGAAGATTTTCTTTTTGTTCGGCCGCGTTTCAATATCAGTACTGACCATCTTGTAATTGGAATTTTTCAGACTCGGAAAAAAGAGGGAAGAGAGCCAAGTAAAGAGATAAAATATAAGAAAAGTGAAGTGCGAATAAAAATATTGCATTCGAGTTTTTCGTGTGTTTCGCTAAGCGTTTTTTGTTTTGGTACGACTTCAGTGATGGTGTACTGGAAATCCAATAAATATATCTTAAGATATTACCTGAATACGAAAAACAGAGGATGGGGAGACGAAAGTTTCATTTAGGAAGTGAAATAAAGATATTCAAATTGGGTCTTAATTTTAGTTTGTTTTTGACTGACAATAGACATCAAGGTGTGAAGAAAAGAGCCGCTGTTCGGCACGAACAAGAAGCTAATAGACTTGCTTGACCAGCTTGTTATAGCTAGCCTGCGTTCACCAGTTTTATTTACAGATTTTTGATTCTGTTATTTGTTAAACTGTTGTATGCGCACTTCTTTGTTGTAAATAAAATATATAATCATTTATAGTGAATGAAAAAATATTATGAATTCTGGTTATAGTTTGGCGCACTTTCACTAACACTTATTACCATTCTACATTCGATATTCTATCTGTAAGACCCTCAAATCACATGATTTTTATGGAAGAAGGAAAGCCGAAGAAAAACCCTCGTGACAAGAGAGAGAACAACACATCAAACTCTAAATTCTATTAACTTGTGAATTTTTATGAATGAAGGAAAACCGGACAATCTGGAGAAAAACCCTCGTGGCAAGAAAGAGAACGTTAAACAGACTTTATTCACATGTGGTATTCATAGGAACCATAGTAAATCTACTTGAGTTTTTATTTTTAAAAGATTTTAGAGAAATGAGTCCTGCTTTTGTCACTACTAAGACAATAATATCAACTGATTATACCATAGGATAGTAAGTTAAGTTACAGATTTTTTTGGTTGTACACAGTATGGCTTTCCAAATGCAGACACTATTAGGTTTTTTTTTTCTTTTTGCGGGGGAATAAAAAGAAAAAAGAATAAAACTAGCTATGATTTGACTATGATTTTAGCATAAATAAAGTTGAGTGGATTTAGTAAGAGAAACAATAAGAAACAGTAAAATATGAATTCCAGGAAATGACTAACAGTTTAGATGTTTATTTTGGCGAGAATAAAAACGAGCAGAAAACGAAACTTTTTTATTCTTTCAGTATCTTTGAAGCTTTCGCGATAAAACACGTAGAATATTTAAAAAAACATGGCGTTTCAGCTATAAATAGTGATAACCTTCATCAGAATGAAGGCTATCGCTAGTTATTTTATTATTTTGTTCGCGTTTCGCACAAAAAGCATTTCGTTTAAAAGTGAAACGTCAGTATGACAAGTGAGAAATCCTTCACAAGTAATGAGAAAAAGAATTGAAAACTCTGTATGTGGTAGATAAATGATATAATATTTCTCTTTCGTTGGAAGGTTYGCAAAAAGTGAAAGACAGGAAAACGATGAAAACGTGTGTGGAAAGAAACAACAATATGCATAATCTTTTTAATCTTTCTTTAAAGGAAAAMTAGTTACGACGAGGAAAATACCAGAAACGTGACTGAATTCCGCTCTCTCAAGAAACGTCTAGCATTCGAAAACATTTTAATTAATAATTTGTATATAACAGATTATTTTCAAAAGACAAATGAAGGATATGTTAATAGGATCTTAACGGAAACTATTGTGTATCATAAAGATGCAAAATAATGAAAGTTTATATGATCCTGAAATGAAACCCCTTTTGAAATATATACATTAAGAGCATCGCTTGTTCCGCCTGAAGGGTAGAATCTACCATATTTTAAGCTTTGAATTCCTTGGATTAAGGGTATCCCAGACGTTCTGAAAAAAGAATTCGTACCAACGACGACACCCACAATATCATCATTCTCAAAGATGAATCGAAACCCGCTCAAAATTTTCCGTTTAAGCGCTCAGCTCATTTATATTCTAAGCACGATACTCTCTTTTAACGATCATGAAACAGGTTGCCCATTGCCAGATCAAAGGACACCGCGCGTTGGTCCTGGAATAATGGCAACCCCGTCGGGCTGTAAGCCTACAAGCCTCCATTGTTTTCTCCTACAGATATTACCAATACCAACTTTAAATGAATCGCATATATTATTGCAAAGTCTTATTTTAGATTTCAACTTTTATTTTGCGTTATGAAAAGGAAAAAATAAACTTATTAAGCTAAACTTTAACTGTACGATATGAAACAAAAACAAAAACGAAAAAATTGAATCGGGATTAATACTAGGGTCTAAAAGTATTATACTTTTTTYACACTTCGCTGGAAATGTTTAGTGTTAACCAGAAAAGTTTTCTTTTAGGGATTTAGGTCGTAAACTACTGAATTATCAATGAAAAGCTCAAGTTGTAGAATGTTTTAGTTGTAGAATGTGTAGGAAACTTAGATCCTTGAAAATTGAAGATTGAAATGAAAATGAAATAAATATGACCTTTATAGTAGTGTTAAATTTTCTATAAATTCTGTAAAAAAGAAATATGTATCGTTGATCAAGAGAACCCCATTGTTCAGAGTGAAACCTCTTGAAGAGTTCTTTTTCACTATTTCTTGTTTATTGAAAGGAAAGTTATGAAAGAAAAGTTGATTATTTTTTTTCGACGCAGAAGATAATGAAAAAGATCTTTCTAGCTAATTATAGTTTTATTAGTGATTGAGAGAAATTTAAGAATTGGTAAAACGATTTAGGAATAAGAAAAGAACAATTCTGCAGTAAAATTCTAATGATTTTTTTAAAATGTTTGAAGCCTTATACCAAACATCATCGTAACTTTGGTTGGGAATGTGAAAGTTGCAGCCAGRATTCATGRTAGCTTTAATTAGCCTAGTTGRGAACAAGCATTTTYCCCCCCAGAGGGTTTGTACTCATGGTTCAATAGTCTTTTACAAGATATACAAGAGCAGAAGTTATTATTAACACCAAGAAAATAGCAGATTCAATCCTAGTAAAATTGGAATGGACATTCAAGAGGATCTATCACACGACAGACCATCTAGTGTGCGCACTAATTCATATGTGTGGAAAATGAAGTCATGTTCATACTAAGACATTCAAGAGGATCTATCACACGACAGACCATCTAGTGTGCGCACTAGTTCATATGTGAGTAAGATTAACGTCATGTTCATACTACGACATTGAACAGGATCTCYTATCACACGACAGACCATCCAGTGTGCGCACTAGTTCATATGTGAGTAGAATCAGTAACGTCATGTTTATACTTCGACATTGAACAGGATCTGCTATCACACGACAGACCATCCAGTGTGCGCACTACTTYATATGTGAGTAGAATCAGTAACGTCATGTTCATRCTTCGACATTCAACAGGATCTCCTATCACACGACAGACCATCCAGTGTGCGCAMTAGTTCATATGTGAGTAARAATAATAGTCCTAYTCAAAAKAGAGAATCTATCGATATTTTTGATAACTTTTGAAGCATCTCCTATCAAMCGCAGACCATCTAGTAAGGACAGCAATCACATTATCACCCGACCCAACTACTATATTTCTTTAWCTYATTAGAGACAGACAGTATCATTTATATATGACGCGCTTACCTTTGTTGCTTTGTTAGTTTTCCCTTTCTTTCCTGTCTTGCTTCCCTGCTTACGCATCCCTCCCTGGTCTTCTGATAGRTCCATGTATTCAGAGGACCGAAAAGACAAGCGAATCTCTTCCAAACAGTGCATCAACTCATAGGTTTGATTACTACTGAAGATCACCTGTAGACAATAACGAATTTTCAGGAAACAATTGGCGGGAAAATGCCGCGCGCGTCACGTTATAGGTTAAACGTATGGGTGGTGATGGGAAAAGGCGGCAACATGACCCAGGCGGGCACTTTTCCAAAATCAGTCAATTACTGAACATATACGACAATAAGCCGAAGACACGCGAACACGATACAAGTGCATTCAAGGTCACTGCAAATGCTGGTAGAACCGATAGATAAAAGACAAGCTCCGTTTTTATCAAACCTTTTCTTGAAAACTTCTTGTCTTACTCGAATTTGGAAACAATTTTTTTCTTTAGTTTAATGATTCGAGAGTCAGTGTCGTAGTGGTAGTTCACTCGCCTCTCATCTCTGGGGTCTCAGCTTCGATACCTGGACGGCTCAGCATCATCCTTGATTCGAGGGTTTTCTCCAAATTCTCTAGTTTTAATCTYTTTGCAAAATCTAACTCGTTCAATTCTAATTTAATCTGTGAGTTAGTCGTCAGTGCCCTGACTTTGATAAGGCCCGAGGTTGTTCCAGGGTATCGAAAAAAATTGAAGATCTCTTCTATGTATTGAGAGAATAGCTTAAACAATGTTATGGATACGAACCTTCTCGTGCTCCAGTAGAGGCAGGGCATCAGTCAGGAGTGTCAGCCATAAACTAAAAAAATGTGATAACATAAATAAACTATATTTAACAGAAAAACCTTTGGCAATAAATGGTTCTCTCGAAGGCGTATGATAAATCTACAGAGTTCCGAGGGAGCTTAAACGCTCCCCCCCCCCCCCCACCCTCCAGCTCTGGAACTCTTACCACGCAACTGACTTGGATTCTACACAGCCTATGTGATCTACATAATAATAATGTAAGTTACCTTTTAGGCGCCAGCTTGGATGTCAGGAGAGAGATAAGTAAAGCGGCTGCGTCTTCAAAGCGACATTCTTCGTACGTCTTGTGGAATTCACGATATTTACCTGGTGATACAACATGCATGGGTGAACTACGACTCTTGTCATGTACATATATACTGGTTATACAGTGGTTTCGAGTGGTATACCATGGAATATCCCATGAGTCACTTGTATTTTCGGTGTATACTCGAGCCTTTGGGCATGACGTGTATTATCCCACCCGATGGAGATGTTACGCATTTACTCTAGAAATTTAAAACACCACAATGCCTGATGGGAAGAAGCAGCTTATTCCCGGGATTTATTTTCTACCTTCAACATTTAGATATATGAACAGAAAATCCTGCTATGAAATTTATGAAGAAAACTATGAAGAAAAGGAAAAAAAACACACACAGAAAAATGTCTGTAGAAGTAATTATTAATTTGTACCCGGAAGTAGTTTTTCGTTCGAATTACGTCACACTTAACATCTCTATAGGCTGTTTGCATGATGGCGTCATCTTACTACCACTACCAAATGGCTTCGCGAATTCAAATTTCCTCGTGAGAATAGTACGACGATGCTAATTACAGTGCGAATCGAAAAACCGTGGGCACTTAGAAATATTCCAGGAATGTTCTATCTTCTTTGCCAATTAGAATTGACTTTCTAATCACAAGATAACGGAAAGATAACAATAACGCTTATGATTGGCTATTGAACATTCTTGAAATATTTCTAGGTGCCCACGGTTTTTCGATTCGCACTGTAACTGAACAAAAGAAAGTGTKCAAGGCAGTCTGGTTGTGGTAGTAAATGACTGACAATAATGCAAGTGACCTGTTCACAACCCTTTTCCTGCATATGTATTGGCTGTTTTTATCAATGGTGTGGAATAWAGATGTAAAGCTATAAGGGGACATACCGAGAAAGGTCAGTCGGTCGCTGAGAAGCATGGCTGATCCCAAGTTGTCAATCAAATCTAGGTTGGAAAACCCTCCACATTGGATGTACTCTTCCAAAAACCTGTAAAAATAAATACGATTGCAAATGTTACAACAAATAAACAAATTCAACATGGAAAACCGAGTCTTCAGCTTGAACAACCACAAGTCATTCCCCTTAATATTATTATTTTCTGGAACGCTTGAGACTTTATAATGATATTGATGTGGCCCACACAAAGATGTATATAGAGGCTTTGCTCCTTGTGATGACTGCCACGACAGGAACAATTGAATCTGAGAAAGAATTCAGTTTCCCAGAAGAAAATACTCAGTATTGTTCCCGGCTCCTGTCATGGCTGCCATCACATGATGGTGCAAAGCCTCTATTGCCGAACTGGTGTCACAGTTAGAAATGGAAAACCATCACATGATGGTGTAAAGCCTCTATTGCCGAACTGGTGCCA